GCACACCGACTTGTGGTCGACGCATAGTCTGTTGCCTTGACAAATATGGGTTTTCTAGGGAGTTCCGGTCGACTGCTGCTCTGTTCTGGTCGACCGTTCGCTTTTTTCTCTGCATTTTTCTATCTTTCCACTTATTTCGAAAAGTGGTTATGTCTGTTACTTTTTGGCATACTATAAATAGATTTTTGCTCTTTTTTAACAAAAAAAAAACAATTGAAACATTTGACTCAATTGCATAAACAAGAAAAGTGAAATAGGTGCCATTAGTTCTCATCATCTTCATCTTCAACATTTCATAACACAACAATTACACACAACGATTTTTGTTGTGCATTGTGGTTTGTTTGGAGTGATAAGGTCCGAAGCCGTTGATAGAGAATCTAGTTCGGGTTGAGTTTCTTGGCAGGTTTTTCTTGAATAAAACCTTGAGGGTTTTGTCCTCCAAGATTCGGTGAATTTGGGGGTTTTTGGTACGAATCTTCTCGACAAACATTCAGCTGAGCGAAGGTGATTGAGGAGCGGTGGGTCCCATCAATCTAGTTGCGGCAATCGGTGAAGTGTTAAGGAGAGGTTCGAGTCCGATTAGTTTGTGTTTGAGATCAACCGGGTTGGGGTTTGAAGAACGCAAGGTTGTTCAACAAAGGGGTTGTAATCGGCGGTCTATCCACAACAATCGAAGGACTTGATTCAACTCGAATCAAGGAACAAGAAGAGAGAGCATTTTTCAACAACAAGAGAGTTTGTTTGCATATTTGCTTGTCTATTCTTGTATAAACGTTTCAACTTTAACAGGTGATATCTATAGTATATGAGCTCAATTCTATTGTTAGATTTGAGGGCAGACGTACCCCGAAGCGAGGACGGCAGGGGAACTGCCTCAACAAATCTTTGTGCCTTTTATTTTCTGCACTTTCATTTTTGCTTAATAATTGAGTAATTTTAGTACAAACAATTCTATCAAATTTAGTATTGGTTTGAGTAAGTGTTGAAAATTGTTTTTGGCTCCAGTACAATATTCTATTGTACAAGGAAGCTAGAGCTACTTACTCAAGGCAAAACTCACTTGGAGTGCTACGCACGGCAAGTGTTTGATAATTTGTCTAAACCAAAATTCTCTTGTGCTGTCCATATAATTTGTTGGCATTTTGAGGCATTGGAACTAGTCTTACCAATTAGTGATATTAATCAATTGATAGTGTGACTAGTGTAGTGATTCTCTTTGCTCATTATCATATCCTTTGGCTAGACGCATATCCGGTCTTCTAATAATGGTTCGTTATAGACGGTAATTTTTCCACGGCCGCTTCCGCATATCAAATATTTTTAAAACCAATTTTTATTGATAGCGCCGACTAATTTTTTAATTGGGATCTATTCAACCCCCTTCTAGATCCGTGTCATCGTCTAACAAGTGGTATCAGGAGCACCGGTTCACTCCGTGCTTCAAGTATAACTCTGTAGAAAATGGTTAACGAACCTAAAGGGGCTTATAATAGAGCTCCCGTTTTTAATGGAGAAAATTACAGTTATTGGAAGGATTGTATGCGAGTGCACATTAATGCCATTTTTCTCTACTTAGATCTGTGTCTGACCGACCCAAAACACAATGTAACTTATAATAGATTTGAATATCACTTTATTATTGACAATGTGGAGTAATTTTAAAGAGGCATGATAACTTCACAATTGTTTTTACTATGAGACAAACTAACAATAACCTTCATGTTTTAGCAAAGACATTGATCTCTTATGCTCTTCATAGTGATCTCAATTATCCACCCGAATATATTCTAAATTTATTTGGTAATAATATGAGTTATCTAAATTTTGAGTCAAAAATATGTTGAATAAAGATAATAATAAATTAGTTTATGTTTATTTGATTTTAATCTTTTTTTTTTTTGATGAAATGTTGGTCAATCTTAATGTGTTTTGTCTTATCATGTTAAAAAAGATTATGTGCAATGGTAATGTCTGATTTATTTTCGCAAAACAACTTCATATGACCTTCACAATTTATTTTCGCAAAACAACTTCATATGACCTTCACAATGTATCTTGAAGTCTTATAATACTTGTTCCATCCATAACAAATAACATATTTTGCTTCAACACAAGCGTCTTGGATATCTTCCATTTTATATAATTAAGTTTATGTTTCTGTCTTTGTTTTACAACAATCCGTTGAGTCCTTTAAATTTGATGTTTGTTAGTTAGCAAAACACAATCGTATTTCTTTTATTTGTAGTTTTAATAAAAAAACTTTGAACCATTTAATATTATTCATTATAATATTTAGGGGTCTTCCCTTACGTTAAAAATTTTTGGTGCAAAATAATTTGTCTTACAAAACTTACTTGTAAGATGAAGAGTGCTCAAACTTATGCATACTACACATGTCATGTCTCTAAGCAATATGGAATTAAATCCACCTTTTCAAACCCAACATAATATAGGTGTTATAGGTTGAAATGAAGGTAACTCAGATGCCGCAGTTAGCCCACTAGGTACCAATCACAATGAATGTTGAATTTCCAACACAACATCTACCATTTTAAAAATGTGGTTTAGACTTAACTCAATCTTATAAATCTATCTTGTAAAGTTAGGGTTGCCTTCACTTATAAACATATCTTCATATCATATATGTCTGATGTGGAACTCTTAACACACTTTCTCACATACACCACTATTGTGTTTGGTGCATAGATATAACTGGTGGATGACCCAATAACAAAAGCTTGATAGTAAGTGGTCAAAGAGATCTTGAACCAAATTCTAGTACCATGTTGATAAATAAAATTTCATATATGAAACATGTATTGACAATATTGAAGCAATCTTACTTAAATAGAGGGAAAAAATAAATCTAACAAATTATGTTTAATGAATCTTATATTAATATTCAAAATTTTTATTTATGGTTTAATATATACCACATGATATTTGAAAGAGGCGATGTGATACAATATTTTTCATTAAGAAATATGAGCATGACATTTTACTTGTGCAAATACATGTTAATGATTTTATATCGGTGCTACTAACGAATTCTTGTGCAAAAGTTTTTCTAATATGATGCAGAATTAATTTAAAATTACTATGTTAGTGATAAAGGAGGTAGGAGTGCATAGACAGCCAGGAGGTTTGCCTAGAAGCAGCCACCCTTCAAAGAGTGCGTAATAGCTCACTGATCGAGCGCTCTTGCGCCGAAGATGAACGGGGCTAAGCGATCTGCCGAAGCTGTGGGATGTAAAAATGAATCGGTAGGGGAGCGTTCCGCCTTAGAAAGAAGTACCCGCGCGAGCAGGGTTGGACGAAGCGGAAGCGAGAATGTCGGCTTGAGTAACGAAAACATTGGTGAGAATCCAATGCCCCGAAAACCTAAGGATTCCTCCGCAAGGTTCGTCCACGGAGGGTAAGTCAGGACCTAAGATCAGGCCGAAAGGCGTAGTCGATGGGGAACTTTGGTACTTTCATGATTTACAAATCAATCAATTAAAGGAAGAAACTTTCATCAATCAAGTTGAATATTGAAAAGAGTTATTAAAAGGTTTGATATGGAAAAAACAAAATCTATCTCAAGTCCTATGAGAACTTAATGTAGTATGAATTAGGACGAGGAAAGAAAAACAGTCGAAGAAAGAAAATATTGAGATATGATCAATTCCCTTCTTGTAACTTTTATAATACACAACAACACTTCGTGGTAAGAAATCTTACGAATGTCATTTTTTAGCTTAACAAAAATGGTTAGCGAAATTTAAAATGTAACTTATAATACATTATAATATGATTCTATTATTGACGATGTCAAATTAATTTTAAAAAGGCACGGCAATTTCAAGGTTGTTTTTACTAGGTGTTAAACTAACGATAATGTTTGACAAAAATGTCTATCTCTTATGCGCCTCACAATGATCTCCATTATTCACCCGAATATATCCTAAAATTAATCGGTAATAATATGAGTTATCTTAGTTTGAGTCAAAAATATTTTGAATAAAGATAATAATAAATTAGTTGATGTTTATTTAATATCCAACTTTTTTTTTGATGAAATTTTGATCAATCTGAATGTGTTTTGTTCCGTCATGTTAAATAAAATTATATACAATACTAATGTATGATTTATTATCCCAATATAACTTCATGGGGTCTTCACATTGCATCTCCAAGTCTTCTAAAACATTTTTCGTCCACAACAACTCACACATTTTTTTTTTAACACAGGCGTCTTGAACATCTTCCATTTTATATAATTATGTCTTTGTTTTCTTTTAATTTTTATAGCAGTCAATTGAGTTCTTTAAATGTGATGTTTGCCAATTAGCAAGACATAACCTTATTTTTTTTTTCTTATTCATTCTTGTAGACATAACTACTATAAATGTCATATCTCTAATATAGGTGTTGGCAGGTAAAATGAGATGTCGCAATTAGTCTACTAAGAGATCATGAACCCATCTTTGATCCCATGTTAATAAATAAATATTTATAAAAGTTGTATTTACAATGTTGAAAAACGAGAGGATCCATATGGTCATATAGTCATATTGAAACTCGTTTTGATTGATGTTATTTATATCTACCAAATTTCCATTCGTGTCTCTCTTTCCAATGAGGATGTGGATCCCACACAGACAAAGCAGGAAGAGGAATCCAATTACCAAACGCAATCAACCACTGCCAACAGTAACATAAACCCACGTTTTTGTAAAAGACAGACCACATTCTTACCTCGGTTTGACCGGATTTTTGTCCTCTTTCTCCATCCACGTGTGTTTCACCTTACAGTTTTCTCTTTTCTCTACCAGCAATGCCTCATTTTCATCTCCTTCACCTCATTGCCTCTTCACCTCTCTTAAAGGGTATGTTCTAACCTCTCTTGTTTAAAGGTATGTTCTTCTGTGTACTTTTCATAGCTTTTGTGTTTGAGTTTTTAATCTGTGTTTTTTATGTTGTTATTATTCAGATTAGCGTGTCTATTGGAACGATCAATGAAGGGTGAAACAGTAAACATGACATGGCTAGGTGGTATATGGCCTAAGAGTGGTTCAGATGAAAAGGATGGAGTTGGAATTATGGCATTTGAAGTTGCAGGGTTGATGTCAAAAGTTGTTAACTTTTGGCATTCTTTGAGTGACAATGAAGTAATGAATCTAAGAGAATGGATATTGAATTCAGTTGGTGTCAAAATGCTTGTTTCTGATGATGAATATTTCTTGATGGAACTTACATGGAATGAGATACTCAATAACTTTCAATCTCTAACACAATCTGTGGCAAGGTTAGGAAAAAGGTGCAAGGATCCTATATATCAAAGCTATGAAAGTTTTGTTCATAACCCTTTTGAGAATTATGCTCAATGGTCAGGTTGGGAATATAGATGGAAAAAGATGGAGAGAAAGGTGAAGAAAATGGAAAGATTTGTTGCTTCTATGTCACTTTTGTCACAAGAGATTGAAGTGTTGGCTGAGTGTGAACAAACCTTAAGAAGAATGAAGATGAACCGATATCGCGATGTTGTTAACAAGACAAAATTGGTCGAGTTTGAGAAGAAGGTTATGTGGCAGAAGAATCAAGTGCAAAATGTTAGAGATTTGTCTCCTTGGAGTAGAAGTTATGATTATGTTGTTAGATTGTTAGCAAGATCATTGTTCACAATTCTTGAGAGAATCATACTTGTGTTTGGAAATAGTCATTTACCTATTGAAAACCAACAAAATGATTCCTCAATATCAATGAACAATAGTATTAATCGTCTCGGGCGCAACCATTCATTCCCTTCTCTCAATGTCATGCAATCTTCGGTCCATCCTTCGGAGACGAATCTAAACGAACATTCTTCGGGGCCTATCGGAAGAAAGAGCAAGAGCAAGAGCAAGAAAAAGAAGAAAGAGCAACAAGTGCTTCATTCACAAGATTCATATGAAAGGCTTCTTCCCTTGGAAGGCAAACAACTGAAATATATTGGATCATTCAAAGGTTGCATACTGGTTCGAAACGATTCTCACGGTTGTTCCACGAGGAAAAACATTGATGTCAACACGAAATCGATACTTGATAAACCGTCTCTCTTTCTCAGAAGTAGAGTTTACTCCAAACTATCTCTCAAGGAGAAGTTAAAGCCGGTTCCATCGACACTTGGAGATGCAGGTCTAGCTCTACATTATGCAAATGTGATTGTATTAATAGAGAAGATAGTGTCATCGCCTCGCACGAACAAGATCAATCTTCGAATGAGAGACGATCTTTACGATAAGCTACCAACGACTATAAGAACGGCTTTAAGGGGTAAGCTTAAATGGTATGCTACTGTGAATGGTGATAATCTTGAAGTAGAATGGAATGTGGTAATAACTCAGATATTGGAGTGGCTAGCTCCACTTGCAAACAACATGGTAAAGTGGCATTGTGAGAGGAATTTTGAGAAGGAACATACTTGTTTGAAAGCAAATGTTTTGCTTGTACAAACTCTTTATTATGCAAACCAAACAAAAACTGAAGCTGCCATTGTTGAACTCCTTGTTGGTCTCCATTATGTATGCAGGGTTGATAGAAAAGGGTATAGATTGCTTAAGAAAGAATTAGTTGTGTAATAATTGTGTTATCTCATAGGACAATATTTTTGTTTTGTACATTTGGTATATGCATTGGAGAAACAATTTTGTGTTGTACATTGTTTGATTGATATGCATACAAAATGGAAAGAATAGTGTGAAAATCATTACAATATGGTATTTATTAGTAATGTTCATTTTGCATTTTTTTTCAAGTATTTTAATATTTATTTTTCATTGCAATTTTTGTTAGTTGTAATTCAAACTATAGAATTAGCTTTATGTTAGTAGTTATGTTAGTTGCAAGTTAAGTGGCAAGTTAGAGATTATTTTATGTTTAATTAATTTTGGCGGGTAAGTAAACTAGTTTACTTGTATCACAAGTAAACTAGTTTGAGGTTGGAAGAACCTATATAATTCCATACCAATGCTTGTAATCACGTATTCATTTTTCTATTATTAATTCCATAATCTCTCCCCTTGCATTTTTTTCTTCCATCCTTAGTTGCTACAAAGCAACTAAAATAAATTGATCTTAATCCAACATATTAGTATCTTAGAGCTTACAGGATTGAAGGGGTCTTGATCTTTCAAGAAGTGAGAAAGATTCTGCGAGAAATCATGGTTAAAGAAAATGACAGGTTTTATGCTAACCTTTCTATTCTTGATGATAAGAATTTGAATAGTTGGTTTAGACAATTGAAAGTGATTTTTGTTGTTCATGAGGTGTATGCACATGTGACCAATGATGTGAAGTCATTCCCTATGAATATGTCAGATGCTCAAAAGAATGCTCACAAGAATGCAAAGACAAAAGATATCACCTTGTTTTTCATTCACCAATGTGTTGATGCAAAAGTGTTAAAAAAATTGTAGAATCAACAAATTTCAAGAATGTTTGGGATATCCTACCGAAAATATGAATATGAATCAAAGGTGAAGAAAGTGAAGCTTCATGCATTGAGAAATATGAGTTGATAGAAATTAAGAATGGTGAGGAAATGGCTGATTACTTCACAAGATTGGTGAACCCCGCCAATCAAATGAAGAATTGTGGAGAAGTCGTGAAAGGGAAAGTGGTATTTGAGAAGGTGTTGAGAATATTGACTAATAAATTTGATCACATGGTGGTAACAATTGAAAAAAAACGAATTGAGTAAAGTCAAAATTGAAGATCTACAAAACACTATTGATGCTTTTGAACAAGAGGTAATTGAAAACAATCATGAAAAAGAAGAAGAAACACTTCTTTCTCGATTATAGAAGAATGAAGCTGGTAAGAAGAAGTGGAAGAAAAAGAAAAAGGAGTAAAAATAACTGGAAAGAGAAACCCGAGCAAGAAATATGAGTTTTCTCATAGAAAACGAGAAGGGAATGAAAAAAAAACAATCCAAGAAGAATCCTTTTGACAAGAAGAAGGTTCAATATTAAAATTGTGACAAGTTTCAGCATTATTTTGTTGAGTAATGGTTAGGAAAACGAAAGTATACTCATAAAAATGAAGAATATAGTTTCAATTTTGACTCTGATCCATTTATGTGATGGTGATAAGCATTGAGATGCATTAGATTCTATGACTTGATATCTTTATAATAGGTGTTTAGATCATATAACAAGAAACAAAAAAGCTACTCATTTAAACTCTAGCAAAATAATCAAGATAAAGCCGACTGAAAACAACTCACTAGAAGTAGAAGACATGGTGAACGTGTTTAATACATATTTATCCCTAGTCCAATGAAAACTTTTACCCATGCTACGCTATCAAACTGTTTAGAGATTTATGGCTGATTTCAATAACCAAGACAAAGCTTTTTTTCCGACAAAGCTTAATAAACCAATAACAGAGATTTTATAAGGGTCGATCTCAAGAACCAAACTCTATCTCTTAACGACATCACACTCTTAAGAATATAAATGAACGGTACGACCACTTACCAAAGTATCTTCCTCACAAGTAAAACTTTACTTAGTAGCACTAAGGCAATTTGAAGTGAATAGAATTTTTTTTCGAAAAGGAGAGAAAGAGATAAAATCCAAAAAAATATAAAATCGATGGAAAGTGGTGCGATATTAAGTGAGGAAGACCCTCCTTTATATAGTAGTTGGAAACGCCAAGAAAATAAATGTTCCATTGGCTGAATTGGTTATCTAATCGATTAGCAAAATACTCTAATCGATTAGACAACTCAAATATAATTGATTATAAAGTCCAAATTAGGAAAATTTGGATATAAAGTCGTTGCAAATCATTAATGTATCATTCCTACTATTTATGTAATCAATTATCATACTTTTAATCGATTGTACAAGTGCTCTAATAGATTAGATTGATAAAAAAGTTTTGTCAATCAATTGGCATATCTTTATAATCGATTAGATGGTTAAGAAAAAGTTTGGATATCTTTTTAATCAATTGGCTTGATTTAGAAAGTCATTTTTTTAAGAACAAAATTGTTCATATCCTTTGAGTTTTGATGATAACAAAGTACTTACAGAATAATTGGGTATACTAACATATGTTCAAGTGCGCAGGATCATAAGCTTAAAATTCAACTATGAATTCAACCTGATAAAGCATATGTAGATAAGCAAAGTGACTCAAATTCTAAAGGATCAAAATATGATGACTCTGAATGTGAATATCAGCTTCTGAAGGATTGGAATCTAATCATGGTATCCCTACCTCTTGTATGTACTCTGTCTCAAAAGTATATGTAGACCTCAACCAAAGGTGCTCCGCCTCTGATATGTAGTCTATCTTAAAAAAAGACTAGTCTTATCAAACACCAGATTATGGAGAAAGTCAATTGGGGTTTTATTATGTAAGACTAAAGGACTGGTGATGTGACCTCTTAAGTCTGCCTCAACCTTTTGGTAGATACCTAGTATGAGAAAGACATACAATGCTATTACTCAATGGACAATAATCTTAACCAAACACATCCTTCAACGTCTCTCTTGGATTTCTTATCAACAAAGAAATCTTATGCAAGTTACCTTCCAACGACTCTTTTTTTGCCTCTGTAAAAGGGAGTTGAAGATTTAAAAGAAGGTCACAACACTATATCAGAACAACATCGAGTATAACTTTGAGCTAAATTTTTATAACTATTATTGTATAAGTTCTTAAGATTTCTTACCTTTGTATATCTTAGAAACCTTAAGTAATAAGAACCTTTGTGGTTGTTGTACAAATTTTATACATCTGATTAAACATCAAGTATAGTTGTTATCTTTTTTACTAAACTATTTGTTTAAAGTGGAGGAAGTCTCTTGCAAGTTAGCTTGAGTAGTGGAAGTCTCTTGCAGATTTTCTTGAGCAGTGGAAGTCTCTTGCCTGTGCGCTTGAAAAAAAATCTCTTGATGGATTACTTAAGAGGAAGTATCTTTCTAGTGTGATTGAGCAGTTGAAGTCTCTTGCTAGTTTGCTTGAGGAAAGTGTAATCAGTTTAATTATAGTGAAAACGTCTTGTTGGACAAGGGCACTAGACTACTCTCAGTTTAGGATAGGAACCAGGATAAACTCGGTGTGTTTATTTATTTATTGCTTCTAAACTATATTCTATTCCGCTGCTATTAACTTTTCTGATCAGACTCTGAACTTGTTCAGATTCTGAAGTTGTTTTCAAAAGTGAAAAAGAATTATAATACACAACTCAACCCCCCTTCTTGTGTATTTTCTCACATTCAGTTAGTATCTGAGTGTCACTTATGCTAAACACTTTACAGTGGTACGATAAAACATCCTGAGAAAAATACTTGTTCTATCATGTCAGGTGCATCCAAAACGACTGGTATTGGTGGTATTTGTAACACCCTGCTCCTCAAATACAAAATAAATGCAATTAAAATAAACAAATATTAGAGTCATCACAAACACAACGAGATGTCACCAAAGAAACTCCTCCAAACATTTTCATTAAACGATTTTCAATAATTAAACAGCGGAAGTTTGTCAATTCTTTAGACACATGGACATATATTCACATCATATACATAAACGTCATATACACTATGTACGGCCAACACCCAAAATATACAAGATATATTCACCCAAAAGATTCATCAAACATGATACGCCACAGGGGCACATAAAATTATCAGATAAACAATAAACTCCCAAAAGCCCCGGTGTTACGTATCAGAGCATCCCTACGACTCAACTCGCCATAATCCAAGCTAGCTACGCACCTGGATTATCTGTACTTCCGAAGAAGCACAAACCACAACAACAACAAAGGGGTGAGAAATCACGATCAAAATATAACGGTAAATACGTACATGAATAAAAGGCAGTAACACACAACCATCAATTCACACACATCAACCCGGACCTACTGTCCCACACCAACACAACATATACAACAATGCAAACACATGCAACTCAACCCATGATATGCGGTACCGACTCAATGGTTCGTCAACCAATCTCAAGATAGATCGCATACACTCCATCCGAGCAACGATCTATCCCTATCATGCTCCCCCTGAGCACATATAAACAAACTCAGGATAGATCGCATACATTCCATACGAGCAACGATCTATCCCTACCATGCTCCCCCTGAGCACATATAAACAAACTCAGGATAGATCGCATGCACTCCATCCGAGCAACGATCTATCCCTACCATGCTCCCCCTGAGCACATATAAACAAACTTAGGATAGATCGCATACACTCCATCTGAGCAACGATCTATCCCTACCATGCTCCCCCTGAGCACATAAACATGCATCATGACATGCATACACCAATTAACACAGCAAACACAAGCACACACCGTGCATACGATCCACTGATCACATTTTATACATCATACATGTTTCACATCTCACCACATTCATACATCATACATATATGATACACACTAATTCAAATATTTATAATTACACAATTATCATGGAAATCACGTTCCAATATCACACCTACACTCTCCACAGACCAAACTCAAGCTCACTCTCAAGCACGACCAGCAAGGGTCCCAAAACACAAGAAAACAGAACAGGAGAGCATAAAAACACAAAATATTGTCA